ATGTATACACCTCCCCCTGTTGTTTGAAAAGTGTGAAGTTGAATAGCTGTATACACCTCCCCCTGTTGTTTGACAAGTGTGAAGTTGAATAGCTGTATACACCTCCCCCTGTTGTTTGACAAGTGTGAAGTTGTATAGCTGTATACACCTCCCCCTGTTGTTTGCACTCTTATCCACGTTGAGATTGTAGGTACAATTACCTGTATCGGAATGTGCAAGTGCTCGCCTGCGCACTTATTTTGTGTGTTTAACAATCAGATATGACATTTCATAAATCATCTTGTTGACTTACAACTGGGACAGGTAAATCATACCTGTAATTCTCAAGTGTTATATATGTTTGAACAGGTAAAAATTACCTTTAAGGGGCGACAAGATATTGTTTTATCAGTTCTTATCTGTCAGTGGCATCGTATCAGTGCGAATTCAAAATACAAATACCTCTGATCATTTAAAGCTCCAGGGCAGTCAAATGTTTAATTGGAAAAGTGGATCCATGTTGTAGTACTAAACATAATACTAGGTATATATCTTACATACAGGATAAACAGTCTTGACTCATTCACCCTTGAAATTACATAATGGACTATTCCAACCTTTGAATTGGAAGAGTTCAAATGTGTCTTCAGGGGTGAAATTGAGTTAACAGATCCATGTATAACCTAGATATTTGGTATATATTTCATATTGGCCATGGTAAGCTTAGGTCACTGTTCCATTTCCCTTTGACTATAATGCATTGATGATGTCATAAATACTAAAAAATAATTTAACTCAAAAAGTGATTGAAAACTTCTTTTGAGAGCTTACGAAAATGCTGTTTCCTCATTGAGGCACATATAGAGTACAAACAACCAGTGTCTCGATGAGAAGAATCTCATTCTGAACATTAATGATGTCATTATATTTCGTGCACACATGCATATGATGATGATGTCATTATATTTTGTGCACATGGTATAGCTGTATGCATTGTTGTCGACAGTAGATAACTGTCTAATGAATATAAGGTATATTTTTGGGGGAAATGAAGTTATTTTATTCTGTACTGCTAGTACTGTGAATCTGAGAAATCATAATTCATAATGTTTGATAATTTCACTGACAAATATATGTAAGTAATTATTTTATAGACTTAATTCTCCAGTCTTTTTTTTGGACAAATAACCATAAACAGACTTTGACCATTTCCATTTTCCACATGCAATAGCAGTTAAACTATATCTCATAACAAACTATATTTGTCTCCCATTTAATCTATTTATACTCTGACCTTGACCTATATGTAATCTTCATGTACAATCTGAAGTCTCGTGTTATTGGAACAAATTTATTGGTTAAGTATAGGCAGGTTTCAACTTGCTAAATATTGAATTAATTATTTCAAACTCCCTTTTTTTCCTTTATTAGATAAAAATGAAAAATTTAAAAACACAATTTAGTTATATGTTTCATAGGATAGGGTGGTATCATAAATATAATTAGCTTATAAATATATCCAAAGTTCTTATCAAACACATAATAAAAGTTTTAATGAAATATTATTTGAATTGTAAATTTGATATGAATTTTAATTTGAATTTCGATGTGAAAACAAATTTTCACATGGGCATTTATATATTAGAAGATATAATTTAAATTGGTGTCACTAAGCTTAAAGCTAGTAAGAATCTGAGCTTGATAAAACTGAGTTGAGGGCCTGCATTTATTAATACTG